CATTCTTCATTTTATCTGCCTTTTCCTACTCTGATTGTAAATGTCCTGTAAGCAGGGAAACAAACACTTGCCTGGATGACTCTCATGTTGCCAGCAGTCTGATACTTGCTAATGAAATTTAAGCTTCTAAAACTGACCATTGTTGCCTACTGCCTCAGCTCTTCCTTTTTACTGACACATCCTTATTCTCTGCCAGTGCCTTTTCCTGTTTTGGGAACCTGTGGCAGAGAGAAGATCAGGCCAAGCCAGAAGAGCCAGGGGCTCAGATCAGATCAGATCAGCTGACAGGACTAGATAGTTTTTTCCAGCCCCAGAAACAGTCTGTTTCTGGTCTTCTGGACTGAAATTATTCAAGAGAAGCCACACAGATGTGGATCCTGTGTCACTCCACTTTCACAGTTTTCATAATGATGATTTGTCATGGCTTTTTTTTTATGTTGCAGAGGTTCCTGCAATATCCAGCTTGTCTTTGCTCCCAACAGGATGACTTTAGTTCTTCTATCCTTCTGAGGAGCTGGAAAAACAATTTTTGAAGCCCAAGAGAGGTTTTTTCCCTTTCAAACTTTTATTGCATATTGGTCAAAGAGAATATTTAAAATTTAATTTTCCCAAGCATGCCACAAAACCTATCTACCTCAGTAGGTATCTTACTGAGGGTGAAAGAGTGAACAATCTCCAGAGGCCAATCAGTGAGTTCACAAAATCACTGTGGGCTCTCTATCAGGTTAATCAGGTTAGATTGGCTCCTTGAGAACTGCTTTTTCCCTCAGTCATCCACCTGAGACTCTGTGCAGAAGACCTACTTTAGTCTTAATTCATATTCTGATTTGTTCTACAGTAGCTGACCAACGTATACAAATTAATACCGAGAAGTCCCACCCTTCCAGTTGCATTATTTTTAGTCATAACTGCTTAAGGTTATCCAGAATTGACAGAGATGGTTTGGGCATATGGGGAAGGGAGGAAAAGTTACGGATAATTTTTTCACTCATTCCATCTCTTCCCCCCTGAAGGACTATAAGCATTTTGACCCCTTGTGTCATTTTCCTTTTTGTCTGTCTGTCTCTGATGTAGAGCTTTGGATCTTGAAGGACAAGGTTCTCTTCCCTGTCTTTAGATGCCCACAGCTGAACTGGTAATATATGATGTCCTCCAAAGTCAATGGAGAGAAAGAACGTATTTTAGGAGAAATTAATATGGTGTGTCTTTAACACCTAGATTAAGATGGGATGACTTCAAGAGAAATGATCCCATTGCCTTAAAATGGGGTATCACAGTTTAGATACCTAGATATTTGTCCACATGAATCCCAAACAAAAAATTGCAGTCTGTAGTTAAATTCATCTGCTGTTCAGATGAGGCTCTTTTGCTGGGCTTTTTGGTCTCCCAAGAGTAATTGGATAACGCAGTGCTGTAGGCTAAAGGAGTAAATCTAGGAGTAGTGTGAGTTCACTAGCAACAGATTTAGGTGGTATTTTTAAAGTTGTCATCAAAATACTTACTTTTAGAAAATAAAACAACCAGGCAACCTGATCAATCAAAAACTGCCCATAGGCAGGTTATTTATAGGTGGAAAATTGGCAGCACACTGGAACTGGGCAGGTACTGCACAGGAAAAAACAACAGAGCCTAATGTCTCTCTGCCTCATCAGCCTAGGACTGCAGGACTGAACTGCATTTGGTGATTCAGGATGCTTACTTTCCAGTTTTTTGCTCATCTGTAATCTGAACAGACACTCAGAGGAATCCCATTCCCACTCTCACTCACTTTCAGCCATTTTCTTCTCCTTCCAATTCCTGTCTAATGATTCTGCTTGAGACCCTGACCTACAAGGTCATTTCAGGCCTCTCCACACCCACTCAGACATATAGCCTCAGTCCATGATATCATTGCCCTATCAAGAAATCACTTCTCCCTTTTGTGCAGGGGAACTAAAAAGCCACTGTAGGAAAATTAAACTGAAATGCAACTAAAAATACATAAACTTGCACAGATGCCCTTCTACCATAAGGTGCTGTGATGAACCAGGCATTCAAAATGTTTCTGAGTTATGGAAAAAGGGTCCAAGCCATCAGACATGCTCCAAATTATTTTCCCTGGCCCACGAGTAGAAGTATTTGAGGAAATATGCACATATTCTTAAACAAAACCATGAGTGACAACAGAATGAGGTTCTATAAATGCTCACAAATGGAGAAGGTTGGTGTAAGGCCTAAAATAAAGCATGCCAACAGTGCCAAATTGATTCTAGCTTGGGGAGCACTACCCAGCTAAATGTGGGCTGGTAAATTTGAGCAGTGGTGCCTGCAGAGGGAGAGCCACTGGTTGGTGAAGAGGTCAAACCACAAGCAGACTGGGGAAAGCTGCTGCTCTCCAGCTGGCAGTGTGTGGGTTACTCATGTCCTTGTTCTTAACCCCCAGCACTGCCCTAACAGCACGTATGCACGGCCACACAGGCCATGCCTCTGCTTGTTGCCAACACAGAGGATGTACAGCAGGTCAGTGTTAGGTGAAGAGGCAGCTGATGTCCTGAGACCATTGTTCAGTGAGTTCTTTCCTGGTTGAATTACTGAAACCAAGGCACCCCACCTTCAGTCCCACTTCCCTGGGCAGTCGGTATCAATGGCGTTGTCTGGGGATGTGGCTGGAGACAAGCACCATGACCCTCTGTGATTCATGTGACAAAAGCTCCTTTATTGTTCTGAACTCTCCTTAAATAGAGGGTTTGGATTTCCAGGGTATACACATGTGATTGGTTACTGTCCCAGTCACTCATTCCCTTGGCCAATGATACATCTGCACCTAGGGTTCAATGGATTGGCTGGGATTCTCTGTATTTGTTCAAATCCATCCTATCATCACTCACTCAGGTACCTGCCCACCTCCAGGCTGGTTGAGTTTTAGGTTACAGCTTTTAGGCCAGCTCAATGTGACAGGGGTCAACACTCAGGTGAGACAACATACAAAGAGGACAAAGTACATACAAGGCACCCTCCCATGAGGAAACAGCAGAAATTGCAAAGTCTGACCCAATTTGTCTCTTTTTCATTTGTGGCTTTCCTCTCTCCCTTCTCCCGGAGGACATTGTTCTCATCAACATCACAGCTCTCCGGGGGAACCTTCCTTTGCTGCCTGCCTACTATGCATCCCTGCCAGATGCCTGTGTTTGCACCTTCCAGCTCTACTTCTGCTGGCAGCCAGAAATCTCTTTGCACTCCACATTCCTGCTCAGCAGCCTTGAGCACCCTGAATTCCCCGTGCAGAGGAGGATTGGTGGCAGAGATTAGGTTGCCTCTTCCCAGGGCTCCTTGTTTGCTTCTTGCTCTGACATTGCAGCTCCACTGTTTTTCCCTGCATCTCCAGCCCTCACCTACCTGAAAACTCACCTCTGTGCCAAAGAGACTCCCAGAAATGCCACTTGCAGCTCCAGTGCCTGCATGCCAGTTAACCTATGTTGTGTTTTGTCTCTCTCTTGCTGATCATTCTCTGCCCAGCTTCCTCTCATGCTGCTGTTTCATTTCCACTTCACCTCCCAACCCTGACAATATTAAAAAGGGGAATTCCCACCTGAGTGATCTGATTGGCATACGAGCAGTAACACTATCAGTCCTTTTAAGTGTGCCAACACACAAAAGTCTGGGTCTGTGGTAAGAGTGTACTGTGTGAAAACTAAGGCTTCTCCCACATCTCTCTTTGACCCTCTCTTTGTAATAACTGGCAAGATTTATTTCCCTTCTTATCTCTAGGCACAAATTTCTCCTAATTTGTTTTATCAGCACTCAGTGTTAGCTCTTGGATGATTCACTCATCACCTACCTGGAGTTCAGCCTTGATTAAACCATGAGCTGTTTTTCTCCAAGACAGTTAACAGAAAAATTGCTTTGTAGCAGACTTTGGACTAGCCCTGGAGATAACACTGTAACAGGAAAACAGAACTGAAAGTGGTGTTTGCAGGCTGAACCTACAGAAATTATCTCATGTAGACACATGTACACATACACAGAAGTGTGACTAGATATATATTTCTAAAAGCATATACACACATATATATATACATAAAGAGGTATAAATATAGCAACAGACAATATACGCAAATTTTCCTATTTTTCAAATAGTCAGCCAATATGCCAAGGCTTTAGTATTTCAACACAAAATAATTGCATGGCTAAAATTTAATCAAGATCTAGACTCTCCTGTAATTAAACTCCAGCAAAACAAGCAAAGGGGAACATGAAAACGTTGAGTTAGAGAAACATAACTTAATCGTCTCAGACACAATTTCAGGTTCCCATAAGAGCCTCTAAAACACAAGAAATCCAAGCACTCAGTGTGAGACTAACTACCTTAATATAAACATCTGTATCTACCTGTGGAATTGCCCATGGGAAAGTTTTGTGAGAACACGTAGCTTTCCCAGAGCTGGCCTGGGAGCCAAGGTTTTCCCAGGAACAAACAAAGGCACCTGCTACTGTTTACAGAGTGTATATTTTGAGAACTCTGTTGTTTATAATGAAAACATCTGCATGAGAGTGCTGCTCGCTCTAACCAATGAGCTGTATTCTATCCCTGGAGTAGCGTTCAAGTATATTTAAGGAGGTGTGTTAGAATAAACTTTGTCTCCTTCCTAGCTTGAAGGATGACCTTATTGCTGTGTGTTTTATTACAGCCGTTCCAAGGGTTAATTCCCTAATTAACAGCAACATCTACCTGCTTGTCTAGACTCCCTTTGTAATCAGTGAAGAGCAATCCAGTAATTCTAGGAGATACAACACACTGAAGTAGAGAGATGAACTGCCTCTTATCCCTGTGATTTTCTTCACTGACTACAAAGGAAGGTAAGTAGAGCTGTAAGAGTTGCATGGGCCAGTGATGACATAAATATGTTCTGCAAAATAGAAATGCAAAACTACGAAATGAGCCAGTCCCCAACATCATCTAGCCCACACATTAGGCTCACACCCAAAAATAGAAGGCATCAGCTGTTTCTACGGGTAGGTAGAAAGGAAAGTGATGGTGATCATTAAGAGAAAAACAAGCATTCCAAGGAAGACATGGACACAGAGGAATACTGATTGAAGACCATTTTAAGCTTTTAATTTCATTTGCAAATTACAGTTGCTTTGTTAGAAACTAGTTGGGGAAAGTGGTAACGGGAGTAAAAAGTACAGAAATACCCCACACAAGCAAAATGTATTTAGAAAAGTATATCAGGTCCAACACAGTTTCCAAATATCACAGTTATTGGCAGGGACTTTTAAAGACCAGGATATCAAATCACTGGAAAGCCTAAAACAGGCCTTTTCCGGTTGATAAAATGATAGTTATCTCTATACACAACAAAGCCAGTTGCAGTTACAAAGAAAAATAAAAAAGAAAATATTCTTAGCAGTAAGAAATGGTGATATACAGCCTTTGTGGAGATATGTTGAAATGGCGGCTTCAGACTTCTATGATTTCAAGGCTCCTTTCAAGTTTTCCCAAAACTGCTGCTGCTGCTGCTCTTCACCAGCAGGCCACTCCAGGTAGGTCTTTGTGTTCATGATCTTCCGCAGCTTGCAGAACCTCTTGGGAATTACGTTGCTCTGGATGGGCTCCAGGAGGATGAGAATTGCCGCATCGTTGTTCTCATCAAAGAGGCGGAAATGCGAGAAGTCCAGCTCGTATTTGCACCACTCGCTCTGCACAAAGTGCTCGGACAGCACAAAGAGCGTTTTGTGGCTCTTCTCAATGGAATCGATGATGTTGTCCACAATCCACTTCCCAGGCACAAAGTCCCGCTTGTGCAGGCAGAGCCGGAAGGGAGGGCAGGCCTGCTCCAGCTCCCGCACCATTGTGTTCTCCACCCAGTCAGAGTCGTTCTCGCTGTAGGAGACAAAAGCGTCGTAGCAGATGTCCTTTGGCGGGGCTCGCTTGGGCTTCCGCTTGGCTTGCAGCCATGCCCACGTCATCCGCAGGTACCAGACCATGTGGTACTTGTAGCCGATGGCCACCAGCAGCAGGATGACCAGGAACACCAGGACACAGATCAACGACACCACCAGGGACCTGTGGCACTCCATCAGGGAGAGGTGCACAGTGCCAACCTGCGCCCCTCTCACCGCCAGCGGAGAGTCACACACATACTTGTCCGGCCACCCCACCAGCACCTGGCCTATCCTGGCCTCGTGATGGATGAAGGAGAGGAACTCACAGGAGCAGATGAAGTTGTTGTCACTGGCATCCAGAAGCTCCATTCTCCTGAAGGACTCAAACGCCTCCTTGGAGAAACTGTTCAGCTTGTTTCTTCGGACAGACAAGGCCACTAAGTTTGGAATGGGTGCAGCACCTGGCAGGGTTTTCAGCTGGTTTCCTGTGAGGTACAGCTCTTTCAGAAATGGGAGCTGCAGTTCAAACTCCTTCAGGTTGTTTGCACTAACATCCAGAACTTCCAGTGTTGAAGGAATGCAGGAGGTTACTTTAGGAATTTGAGTGCTGGACAGGTTTAAATATTTCAGATTTTCTGGCCATTCACACACATTGGGAATCTCACCAAAATTATTTTGGCTAATGTCAAGATTATTCAGTTTGGGTAGACGAGATGTATACTCTGCAGTCTGTTCCAGAGATTTTAGAGAGTTCTGACTAAGATTTAAAGTTTGCAATGAAGGCCAGGAACCTTTACAGATTGTCTCATTTAAACGCTTATTTACAAGCAAATTGTCATGAAAGTCCAGATACAGAAGTGATGAAAAATGTCTTGCAAGTTTGCATGGTACCATGAAAACATTAGAGCTTGCAATAGTGAGTCTTTTTAATTTGTTTATTTGTGATTCCATACCTTCCAGATCAAAAAACAAATGAAAATTCTGAATCATTATCTTTATTATTGTTATGGTTTCAACAAAACTTTGCCCACTCCTTGCAATTTCTTCAGTATTCCACATTCCTTTCCCCTCAAGCACACAATTGATTGCCTCTAACTCTTTTAAAGATGTGATTTCCTTCAGTAACACTATTGCTTGGCCAATAGTTTGATCTGTGAAGAAAGCTTCCTTAAACGTAAGTTTTTGTATCCTAAAAGGACGTATAGAATTCTGCACCAAGCTTTTTTTTTCAACTGGTAATTTGATTTCTGTCACTTCCAGCCAAGTGACAGAGTGCAGAAGGTCTCTAACAATTTCTGAGAATATATTACTATCTCTTATGTTTATGATCATGTGCTTTATCTCCTTAATTGATTGCAAACTTCCCTGCTCATACTGACTGAGATTGCTGCCATCAATCCACAACTTGTGCAGAAGCTCAATGCCCTCAAAGTTCCCTTGCCTTATCACAGAGAACCACGGGTTGCCCAAGTGGAGAGAGCTCAGATTCCTCAGGCTAGAAAAGGGGGAGCTCTGTCCCAGGTCTCTGTAGGAATTGCCTTGAAGATGGAGGTGCTGGAGTGAAGAAAGGCGCCCAAACCACAGAGGGGACAAGTGAGCCAAGCTGTTATTTGATAAGTCCAAGAGCTCCAGTTTTGCCAGGGACTGAAATGAGTCCTCATCTATGGAGCTGATTTTGTTGGACTGCAGCAGCAGCGCTCTCAGGTTCACAGCCTGCTGCAGGTCCTGGGATTGGATGCGCTTTATCCTGTTGTGGGCCAGGTTTAACACTGTAATTTTGGCCGTGAGCCCAGGGGGAATGAAGTCCAAGCCCATGGAGGAGCAGTTGCAAAGCTGACTGGCATAACATGAAGGACAAGTCTGCTTCAGTGCTTGCTGTTCAGAGAAGTTTGCAGCTAAGACCATGTAGATGGCCAACATTTGCCAGGTGTGTGTTGATTTGTGTTTTGCTTGGATGGACATTTTGCTGTAGGAAACAGGAAGATGAGAAGGTTGGATGAAGTTTTAATTTTGAACAGCAGCTGAAAACTCTTGAAAACCTGTACCATTTTATTAGTAATCTCAGATTAATTTTTTTAAGTTTTATCCTGTGATGTCAATCTTCCTCTCCTACTTGCGCTTCTCAGCACTCCAACCACGGTGTGTTGCTCATCCCTGGCATACAGCCATATCACTTGTCAAGAGCCATAAAGGACCATTCTTAGTGTCCTGCTTTTTTATATGCACATCTGCTATGGCTCTCACCTCTTTCATCTTTCACATTATGCCTTCTCTCAGCAAAGAAACTACAGCTGGATGTTTCAGCCTCAAATAGGGGAAGATGGTTAGATCATCAATAATTTGGATGAGGGGATTGAGTGCACACTCAGTTTGCAGACAACACCGATTTGGGTGGGAGTGTTGATCTGCTACAGGGTAAGGAGGCTCTCCGGGGGGCCTGGATTGAATGGATCCATGGCCTGAGGCCAATTGTATGAGACTCAACAAAATGAAGCACCATGTACTTGTTGGGTTACAACAACCCCATGCAGCACTAAATGCTGGGGTCAGAGTGGCTAGAAAGCTGCCTATCAGAAAAGGATCTGGAGGTGCTGGTCAACAGGCAGCTGAATATGATCCAGCATGTGCTCAGGTGGCCAAGAAGGCCAATGGCATCCTGGCCTGTATCAGTATGAGCAACAGGACTAGGGCAGTGGTTGTCCCCATGTACTCGGCACTGGTGAAGTCACACCTCAAATCCTGTATTCAGTTTTGGGCCTCTCACTTCAAGAAGGACATGGAGGTGCTGGAGCTTGTGCAGAGCAAGGTAACAGAGCTGGGGAAGGGTCTAGAATGTAAGTCTTAAAAGAACCAGCTGAGGGAGCTCAAGTTGTTTAGCCTGGAGGAAAAGGAGGGTTAGAGGGGACTTTATCACTCTCTACAAATGCCTGAAATGAGGCTGTAGTCAGGTGGGGGTCAATCTCCCAGGTAACAAGTGATAGGAAAAGAGAAAATGGCCTCAAGTTGCATCAACAGAAGTTTAGATTGGATATTAGGAAAAAAGTATTCACAGAAAGGGCGGTCAAGCACTGGCACAGACTGCTTAGGAAGTGGTGGAGTCACCCTCCCTGGAGGTATTTAAAAGACATGCAGACATGGTGCTTAGGGACACAATTTAGTGCTAGGCTTGGCAGTATTTGGTTAATGGTTTGACTCAATGGTCTTAAGGATCTTTTTAAACCAAAGTCATTCTGTGATTCTATGATTACAAATGCTCAAAGCCCTTGCAGCATCAGCCTGCCCATTCTGTACAGCTACATGGCAGGCAGAAGCCCAAAGGGAACCTGCTCCCCCTTCCAGCCCTTCCACAAACTTTCCCAGAAGAGATTTGGGGGCCCCCTGCATAGTGTCTCACCAGCCTCAGGGCTTCTAAAAGCAGAGCTCCTGCCACACCCTTTTGGACACTGTGTAAGCAATTCACGTTCTTTACTGGAAAGGCAGAACAAGCTGATATGCAATGAAGTCTATCAGACTCCTCTGTAAAACAGCACCAGTAATAGATAAGAACTGGATGTTACTGTCACCCTATAAACAGTGGCTGAATTAGAACAATATTGATTTTAATGTAAAGAAGGGCTGTGTTTCCTGCTGCAGGTGCCAAAGAACACTTCACCAAGTCTGAACTGTAAACGGTTCCAGCACCGCAGCACCCATAAACCCTGAATAAGAAGAGATTAAGTACTTACCTTGTGTATTGCATGCTCTGTTTCAGTCTTTTTGTGTGCTGGCATCTGAATGATCACCTCATACCTGCAAACACAACAAAAGCTGGAAATTTTTGGCAGGTCTGATGAGGTGACACTCCCAAAGTGAGAAAATATTTCAACCTCTTCAAGCAAGACTTCATGTTTCCCAGTGTCCTTTAACTACACAGCCAGTGAATCATACCAGTTTGTATCTCTTCTCTCCACTGGTGGCTCCCCTGAGGAAACCATGGCTTTTAAAGAGTCCAGGACTGTCGGGCACATATGGCTCACCCTTCAAACTCTCATTTCAACCAGTTCTACCATTGCTGCTGACTGGGGACACAAAAATGCGAATAGACTGTGGTTGAACTCTCTTCTTTGAAAGACAAAATTTAGTGTCAGTCTCTTCTTTTTGTCAATCAACTTCTATTGCTGGAAAGGCTGATGCAACCATTTTGCGCAAGTCATTCTTTCATAATCACTTCCTCCACTATTAAGTGCAGAAATAGTTCCCAGGCAGAACTGCATTCACCTCCCTGTATCTCTACTTTTGATACTTTTTGTCTGGTAGACACTGGAGATTGTTCACTGTGCTGAGAAACAGAACATCTCAGCACAACCAACTTATGTAAGTTCCGTAAAATATTATCAATATATTAAGTGATACATATATTAAGTGTTGGATCAGATTGTTTAGTCGGGGACAGTACTATAGAAACACTCAGCATCCTTTAATTTCCTAGGACACTACAGTCATATGTTGTCAACAGGAAATGAATAAGAACAGGAATGATATTCTGTCTGAAGTACAAGACACAGTCTGAAGCAAAGCATCTCTCTGTAAACATCAATGGCAATTTTGAGAAAGGAGGTTTGATAGTGTTAATTTTAACCTGACTGAAGTAATACATGGTTGGTCAAAGAGCCAAGTATGTTGTTTGCATAAAGGGGCAGGGAGTTGTCCCACCAGCTCTGAAAGGGAAGTCCATTAAATTCAAACACTAACATTCCTGTTGCAGTTACCGTTTTTCTTTGGTATTCAGAAATTGTCACATTTTTCTGCCCTCTTGCACCAAGAAGTGCCTGCCTGAGAGCAGACAGATGTACTGATTCCTGCCACGTCAGAGGGCCCACAGCAGCATCTGTGTGGTCAAGGGTGGCAAAGCCCACAGAGAGCCCAAATGCACTTCATAGCAACCTTCAGTCCCACTGCACTGACATTACCATTGTACATTAGGTTAAAGATAAAAAGAAATTGAAAGACTGAGATACCCTTGTATTTTCTGTCTACTACAAAGGATAGCTGATAAGCATAACGTTGTAAAACAGAGGCAAAGCAGCTGTGGGGCAGAGAGGAGAAGGGGAATAGTCTTTTAGTGAAAGGATGTCATCAACTTCCCCAAAGCCACCTCTAGCACTTCTCAGCTGAAATGGTTCTTGTTCTTCAATAGGCAAGATTACAGTTTTCAAAATATTAGCAATGGGTTCAATGAGACTTGCTACTGTGTATTTTTGTCTTCAAAACTGCACATCCCTGATACAATAAAAAATTTTAGTTAATTTGGGAAGAGTTTTGGAGAAGAAGACCATGTACATAATTCAATGTGAAATGGGCACACTCTTCTGTCTCTTACAGCTCCATCACCATGCATTTGTGGAGAATTGAGGTAGGCACCAGCTGTTTTTTACCACTTTGTCCTAACATCCAGGCTCAGCAAGCTCTCATCATGGATGGATCTACACTGGGCAAGGTTTCTGGTTTCTCTCAGAAAGAGAAGACTAGTGTGACCATGCCACAGTTCACAAATCAAACAGTCCATTTCAGCAAGCTGCTTAAAATGCCAAGAAATGGGAGTGATTGTCAGGGTCCAGACTCAGGACGGCTTGAGGATGTGCAAAAATGCTCTCCACAAGCTGCCCCACAAACAGACAAGGTACCAACCGCCTGCCTCCCAGAGCATTAGCTTTCAAATTGAGCTACAGCGTGGTTCAAAACAACTTCTTTTGAAATTAAAGACTCTAAATTAGGAGAAAGGTGCTCTCTTTTAAGATGAGAATACTCTTCAACTGCTTTTTCTCCAGAGTAACTGCATGTTTAGCATTGAACAAAGATGCACCTTGTTGGTGCTTTCTCTCCTCTTCCAAATTTAAACTATGATTAACCTTCCTCTTTTATACTGTTTAGAACAAGTCATATGCCTTCATCTACACATTTTCCTAAGAGAAGCACATGGATCTGCAACAAGCCTGTGCTTTTGTAACTGCAGATGTTCTAAGCAGAGACACCACATGAGCTTTTACCAGCAGGTAGATGGGGATAAGATAGAGGCATGGTCATTATTTTTGAAGCGGTCTTGCTTTAAATGTTCCCTTTTATCCAACAACAGCACAAGCAGAACCCAAACTGGGCATGATGCACTCTTTAAGCACTTCCCGTTCCCAGTCTCACACGGAAGGATACTGCAGCCCATCCCCTCCCCCACCCTCTTCCTCCTCTATGTCGGTGTCACTGAGAGCTGCTTGTTGCTTTTCTGCTGAGAAAAGACAAGTGAGCAGTGCAGAAAGGACCCAACTCGGGCAGCACCCTGCCCTAGATCCCTGCCTCAGAGAAAAAGCAGAAGCAGTAGAAAAGGGAGGGAGGCATAAATCCATTGACCAGCCTGTGATACAAGCAGAAAGCACACTTTCCAGATCTTTGTAAACAGCACAAAACTGCTTCCTCATACTTACCACTGGTAACCAGGATATGCCAGCATGTCAGCTTGGCCACAGCAGTGCCAGCAAGGCTGAACCCAGGATGCTCTTACTCTAAATGCCCCCAGAAAAGGATGGCAAGGAAAAGCCAGAAGTCAAATCTGTCCTTGCAGTCTTTGGAGCAGAAAGTATAATATTAATGCAATTGAAAGCAGAATGGCTTGTCATCCTTTCATGGTCCTGGGAACAGATTCTTTACGTGCACTGATGGTGCCTGTGCTTTAATGTGTCTTGCAGGGCTTCTGGTATTAATCTTCAAGATACAACAAAAAGGTACATGATAATGAGAAGTAAACCATTTTAACTTTGTTGTATGCCATATCGGGCTTACCCTGCCAGCTGCTCAATTCCTTGGTTAGATCTTCAGACTGGAAGTTTAAATGCAAAGGACCCAATAACCTTTGTTTTCCTTCTGGGCAAGCCTCACTCTGCAGTTGTGGCAGAGCATGATAATGATTTATAACTGGTTAGTCATTCAGCAGCCAACCTACAGCACTGCCTCTGCCAAGGAAGCAGAGTTGTGTATCTATTTTTGTCATATCCTTTCTGAAAGCATTCAGTCAGAAAAACACAACACTGATTTGCTACCCTAACTGAGGAGCATCTTGCAGGAAAGTTCACAGGCTAAGACACCAAAGCTTATCTTAATGATATGGAAAGTTTCATTTTTCTAGAATAGTTGTAAGATCATTACTCAACAAGAGAAAATATGTAATTTCTGCCAAAGTATTTCTGATGAGTTCTTCACTTCCAAGGAAACTGCATCAAAAGGAAACAGCCTACATACAAGGCAAAGCTGGACAACAAAAAATTAGTTCCTTTCTTACTTTGCCCTTTAGGTACAGTGAAAAAAACTTGTATCTTACAAGAATACTAGAATACACAGTATTTTCCAGTAGTATACAGTGGGAAAAAAGGCAAGTTTTGACACCCTATTCTGAAGACCACTGTGACAAACACACAAAATCCTGTTACCACCACACAGATTTGTTACTCCAAAATGAGAACTCTGAGACAACTCACACAGTACTGCGAGCTCAGAGTTCAGCCCAAATGTACTTGGGCAGATAGGCTCCCAGCTTGCTTCTGCTGGGGATCCATCCCCTAAAAACAGACATAAATCTGGAAATCTTATTTTCTTTTAAAATATTTAATGCAATTTTCATAATGTTGATGGGTACAACATTATCAATGTACAAAGCTGGTTCTTAAGTTTTTTTACAGTTCTTCAGGAAATCCTTCTGTGTAGCTTTTTCAAGTTCCATTCATACAGTATTTTGAACTACTTTTTTTCTTTGCTCTACATCTATCTCACTCTTTTGTGTTGTTCAGTTTGTTTTGCTGTATCCTAGACTCTATGACAGAGGTCATCTAATATGGGCTGCCCAGAATGGAATTTGGACACCTAAGCTGTATTTCCAGTTTTTTTAAAAAAGAGATGCCATTCCTGTTTCCAAACAAAGATTTTGCAGGATTTTAGACAGAGCCACAAACACTTATAGATAGGGGCTCCCAACACAGGCTGCACTACCGGGGGGAAGGGTTGGGAAGAGAAAGGAATGGGATCTCTTATTCTTGCTGTTTGGACAGCTTCTGCTTCATTTCATCTCACCAAGAGAGAAAATACTCTGTTACAGCCCACTGGGTGCAAGTCATCACTGGCAGGCTGTTGTGAGGAAGTTAGGGTTTAACATCTTGGCACTGGAATTTCCCATAAGAAGGAAAAAACTTTGCTCAACTCCAAGTAAAAGCTCCTTCAAGAGATGCGGTGCAAAGGGACATGCATGTTGGTGCATTCCAGTATGGGAAGGTCCAGTAAATTTTGTCTTGCCTCATGGACATATTTTGTGCTTAAGCCAATCTAGTGCTAATAGGCTGAATAAAGTGTTTTCCTTTTCTTGTTTTGGGTTTTTGTTTCTTGGGGTTTTTATTATTATTATTGGAAAAGAAACATTCCTGAGAATAGGACCAAGCCATTGCAGAACCAGCTAGAGTTTGTTTCCTGTACGGAGGTAGAAAGTGCTTTGCTGGGATGCAGAGATACATATGTAGCTGTTTGTCATACAATAGAAAAACAATTGTGTTTAACTTTTGGGCAAGAATCTGAGCAGGAAATGAAGCAGATCATTATCACGTACCATAAAAATATAAAGATTTTTGTATTTTTCAAAAGAAAATAATGTATTTTGCACAGATAGCTCAGGCTTTGCATTCAGTTGCTGACTCCCTCTGTATCAGATGCCATGAAATATTTCAGGCATGAGTGCATTTCAGAAAGAGAAAATTAGTCAATTCCAAATCTTTTTTTCTCAGCTATTCAAGACCTCAGAAGTTCTTTCTTCAGTGCAGCTACTTTTCTGGATTTATAGCCTATCACTATGCCACATTTTTTAAAAATACAAAAATGTCTAAGGTACTATTTCCTAGGGTTTTTTCACTCACTGGAAAAACAACATGTTTTGTGAGTCTCTTGCAGGGATTGTTTCTATTGCCTTCTTTTGCAATTGTATAATTTTTTTAAAAAAACTTTTTAGAAGCTTGACTTCAACTGAGTTGCAAACATGCATGAAAACATAATTTTTACTGAAAATTAAAAGCCTGATCATAAAAAAATGTCACTAAGTATTTAAAATGTGTATGTGATTTCTGATAGGGCCACCAAACTGATACCTGGAAAGGCTGACCTGGAACAGAGACTAGACAGAGCAAAAGGAATAAAATAGGTATTTATTGAAAGGATACACCTTGGGTAGTGCAAGAGCCCGGCCAGGGCTACACCCAAATCAAATCCAAGATGGAACCCGGTCACGAGTTTTTACATTTTTATAAGTTTTGATTCATCTACATATTGGGGTCAGTTGTCCAGTCACAACCCCAGGCTATGAAGTCTCAGCCCCCTGGCTTGCCCCCTTTCCCTCGCTGTTGTTTATGCTTCTTGGGTACCAGTTGTCCTTGATTCTCTAGCTAGGAAGGGATTGTTTTGTCTGGCTACCCTGTGAAGAGAACTTAGTAACACCTAATATGAAGTTTCAGAGTTACACACTAAGCTGCAGAGATTCTGGAAAATATAAAAGCTAAAACCCAAGGCATCAAAACCATCTTCAAATAATGTTATTTCCAATATTGGACCATTCTCTGACTTTCTGAATTTGAACATGGTTGAAAACAGACAGCCCAAACTAATTTTCAAGCACACATTCAGCTATTTTGATAATTCCCTCTAAATTATCCTCAGATTGCATTTCTTGCTCTTCTTGAGGTAGGTTTTCTTGACTGTAACAGTACCAGCTTAGTAATGACAGATTCAGAAAAGACCATGTAACTTGTGCCTGTGCTGCCAGATGCCTTTTTTTCTTTATCACAGTATGTACAGAAAGAAACACACCATATGAGATGATCAACCTCAAAACTGAGGCGTTTTCTCCTGCTATGAAATACCTATA